GCCGAACCGCCGCTCTGCGCCAGACCACCGCCTCCGCCTGTCACTCTGGACCACTCGCCGTTCGCCGCCTTGCCGCCGGCCCACCGCCCGGCCGTTGCCTGCCAGCCGCCTGTCGCCGGGACGAGTCACCGCCGGCCTCCGCCTGCCACCAACCACGCGCCGGCCGCCGCTCGTGCCGTCAGACCCACCGCCCGGCCACCTCACTGCCCAGCAGACCACCAGCCGCCGCCTGTCGCCGGACCACTGCCCGGTCTGCCGCCTGCCGCTGAACCACCGCCTTCACTATCAGCCGGACTAACTGCCCGGCCGCCGCCTGCCGCCGGACCACCGTTCGGCCGCCGCCTGCAGCCAGACCCACAAGCCTGGCCGCCGCCTGCCTCCATACCGCTCCCGGACGTGCCTTCCGCCAGACCACCGCCCGGCCGCTGCCTGCAACGTCCGGACTTTTAGACGACTTACGTCAGACTACCGTTCGGCTGTCGCCCGTCGCGCGACGCCTTGCCCGGTCGCCGCCTACCAAGACTTCAGCTCTCGACCTTCGTCGACTACATCGCCCAGCCGCACACCTGCCGGACATTCGTACGTACTCATCTCCAGACCTTTGCTGTCTCTCAAATCATGTAATTCGACCGCCTCTAAATCGAGGGAGGTCAACCCTTGTAATTCACATCAAGTTTAGTAGAATATTTTCCCTGGGCAAGGCCCCATGGTTTTTCTTCTTCGGGCTTTCCATTTTAAAAAAGATTTTGGTGTTCTACTTTCTCTCTATGTGTTTGTGTGCTGGATCTTCTACAATGTTAAGACGTTTAATACCCATATATTTCTCTAGCCGCGCGAATATTTCAGGACCAACAAAACTAATTTAACACAAAAGGTTTGTTTTATTAGATGGATTGAAATTAGAAATCAATTGATAAATGTCACGCGATAAGTCAGCTCAGTCATCATGAGCCATTTTGAGTTGCGACCAGATAAATGACATTGTGAATCAAGCTAGGGAGCCAAACTTGAGCCAAATTTAACTTGACTGATTTAGACCAGCTGAGCCGGCTGTTTAATAAATAATTATATAAAATAATAATTAAAATATATTATTGTTGCGTGTTAGAAAATACGCGGCGGTAAGAGCTTGTGATTCACGTCCGAGTGTGCACGTAATTTTAACACACAAGTAGGAAAGAAAATGTAAACACCAGAGTTTTTTACGTGGAAAACCGAAAAAGGGGAAAAGAATCACGGGGCCTCGCCCAGTTGTAAGTTTACACTAGTTGTTTTTGTAAAATTACAAATGGCGGATCCAAGGGCGAAATTGGGAGTGGTTTGAATGGACGGTCGTATCGAATCCTTTGATCATGCACCGTTCGTGTGGGCATTTGCAGGCTTTAATGATGTCAGGATTTAATGGATCTGGCTCGTTGGATTTTTTCTCTTCAAGCGTTCGATTCAGTATAAGCCTCGTTCAAAAATCGGAGACCGTTTGGTTAACTCAAATTGGCGGTTTGAACCTTCCAACATGCGCTTTGAAACCCTTGATTCGACTCATTTGGGCTCGGATTGGGTGATCTTGGTGTCGTGGGTTCGTATTTCCGACGCACCGCCTCAGTTTGACTATAAGTTCGTTGAAATCGATGGGGTTTGAGTGGCTTCCAAAAATTAATTTTTGAAGTTCCAACTAGCTTTGCTTCAAGATTCTGCCTGATTCAAAGATAATTTTGCGTGAGTATCAATTAATAATACAAATTTTCAGCTATAAAGTTGTTAAAATATTTTAAAATTTATGTCATTTTCAAATATTAAATTATTATTTATTATTTTAATATTTATTCCTCATTTTCTTAGATTCATTATAATAATCATTTATTTATTTATTTTCATGAAAAAAAAATTGTCGGCAAACGTATTCTAAAACATACTTAGAAGCCTAAATATAGAAAGTGATCGCACTTCCCTCAAAGTCATATTAGCACCAAGCAGAACTTGTAACAATAATATAAAGCAGTAAATAATAATATAAATGGTCATATAAACATTTCTGTCCTTTCGGGTCACGGGTCTGAGTTCGGATCAAATCTTGAAATTGCCCAAACCACTATTCGGGATCTACTAGAACCTAACCCGTTTTATTAAACGGGTTCAATTTTTGGACCGAACCTGACCTGCTTCGGGTTCGGTCACCCGACACGACCCAGAATCGGATTACACTAGGTTTGGAACACCAGGGACGCCCTGCTGACCGCGACACGGCTATCGACGGCCGCGAGGATGCGGCAGCTTGGGTTCGGCACTTGACAGCAGCAGCGCGAAACGCGGGCGGAGGCAGCCGGCAGCTGCGTGCATGCGCGAAGCTCTTGGATCGAAACGCTGACGAGACGCACGGATCGCTGGAGTTGGCCGCATTGGAACTGCCTGGACACAATACGTCCGCGGGAAAATGGACCTGAGAGCCACTTCGGTACACGACGCGGGCGCCATGGTCATTGCAGGCAGGCTCGGTCAGCGCAGGCACTGTGGGTCATTTCCGGGTTTTCTGCGTCAACCCGAAACCCGACCACATTTTTTAAAACGGTCAAAAATTCTAACCCGAACCGACCCGATAAGTTCGGTCAACACTGAAACCAAAATTTCTGGTCGTGCGAGCAATATTAGGTCCTTCACTGGATAATAGAGGAGGTTAAGTTTTAGCCAAAAATAGGTAAAAAGTGCAACAAAAACTCGGGATTTTTTTCAAAAACTCGGTATTTGCACTTTTTTTAGACAAAAACCGACCTTATCTAGGTCCCTTGCGCACCGGACGCAAAATAAAAACTCCAAATATTGACACCCCATCTTTTCTGAGTTCTTCAAACATATTTAAAAAAATATATATACTTTATAATGCTAATGGCAGAAAAGTTCTACGCCAAATCATAAACAGGGATACAGAACATAAAGAAAGAAAATAGATAATGGAATAAAATTAACCAAAAAGAGAATATATAGTCTGATGTAGCCAGGTATGCAGGAACCCAATGCAGGCAAGCAAGAATAGTGGCTGACATAGTCAAGGCGGGGGGCGTAAACTTTTACTCCTTCCGTTGAGCGCGTCTGAAAAATGAAATAGCTTGGTAAGTCGAAAATGGCGAGAGAGGAAGAGGGACCGTTGTAGAAGAAGAAAGATTTTTACATTTTCGAATTTTTAAAAGGAGTCTGAACCGTCCCTGAATATTCTCCGTTTCTTCTCCCACTGTTACTCCTGTTAGAAGAGCGATTCCATCAGCGAGAATAGTGGCTGACATAGTCAGGGCGGGGAGGCGTACTTTCTCTATCTCCTTCCCGTTGAGGCGGCCGAAAAGCTTGGGTAAGTATCGAAATGGTGGAGAGGAAGAGGGAGGCCGTTGTAGAGGAGAAAAGTTTCAATTTTCGATTTTTAAGAGGAGTCTGAACCGGTCCTCAATATATCTGCCTCAGAGCCTTCCGTTTCTTCTCGAGCATTCCTGGAGTCTAATAAATAACGGCATCCTTACAGTCCATTTCACTAACCCAATTAAACTGTTCTCTTCACTGTAGTAGAAGCAAATTAAAGTCTTTTCAACCCTCTTCCAATTCCTCATTCATGCGGAAAGAAGAATAACCACTCTTCTCCAGCATTCTGCTGCAAGTTCTTGAAACTAAAGCCATTGATAAACTGAAAATCCTCAATGGCCAACTCGTGAAGGAACGTGGCAGAAGATGCCGCAAAACAAATCGAGCACTCAGTTTTCAGCTAGCTGCATTAGCCTCCCAACCACAACATCCTCGCCGGGAGCCAGCACAGGTCTCTTCTAATAGCTAGAGAATCCCGCGCAGCGACAACGCAGAGTGGCGGTGATTGAAGACAGAGTCCGCTGCTGCTAACTTGATGCGGAAGAAATGCTGCTGCGTCCCTTGTTAGAAGAAAGATGAGATTCAGAGCAATACGGAGTTCATTATTGCGGAGAAGCATTGCGATATTGGGTTTTGGAGCGTCTTTGGAGCTATTGAGGAAGGAAATCAGATGTGGAGCTTGCTGGTGGAAGAAAATGGAAGAGATGGATCTTTCTGCCATTGTTGCTACAGCCTTATTCTGTGTTGCTTGCTGCTGTAGTAACATTATGGGTGTCGCTAAGACGTTTCAATCCTAAAAATTAGTTTTAAAATTTTAGTTTAAATCTGTAGGATAGCTTGATCTGTTTTAATGTACTGTTATTTATTAGTTTAATATTTTTCAATAATTAACATTTTAACCCATATCCATTGGAATTTGGCGAAAAGCGATTTGCTTGTTCTTCTTCTTCCTTCAAAGTAAATTTCTCAGGTGAGAATGGCTTTTGATTTCTTGCTATTGGTCATTAGAAAATAATATGGAATTGTTGAAAATTACAGGAGTTCTTTCTCATTAAAGTCTCTTTATGATTGAATTGTTAAGAAAAATTATTTGTGACTACTAAATACTGTGGTTGAAATTCTTAAATCATAATTTTTCAAAACCGTTTTGTTTATTATATTAGCATAGATACAAGAAAGAAGAATGCTCATGAAATTGAGTAGATTATGAGATTATTTTCTTCAGTATACAAGTATTTTAAGTGATAGTCTGTTTTCTGATTTGTTTTTTAAAGCATTCAAAATAAAAAAAAACCGTTCACCCATAATCAAAGACGGAGCCAAAAATATACAAAAACTATTAAATCTTATTAGTTTAAAAAGATAAAATTACAAAATACTTATATTTGACAGAGAGATCAAAATGCGAGCGGCGGACAGTCTAAAATGGGAGATGAGCGAACCGAAATTCCTGTGGAGATTCATCGAATAGTTGAATATGCTGTTCGAATTATCGACAATAAAAAACAAAGAGAAAAAGTTTAAGAGAAAAACCTCTTAAGCACTATAAACCAGGAAATTATCGGTGCTGATATGCATTTGCCATCGAACACTTTGGCAACCATTTAGATGTCAATATAAATAATGAAAATAATTGTACAACAATTAAAAAAAAAAAGGAAGAAAATTAATAATAATAATTAAAAAACATAGATTACCAAGAAATTGAATAAAATGGTAAAACATCAATGAGGCATCTGTCGAACACTTTGGTGAGCATCTTCGCAGTTTCTTCCAAATAACCCTCCAAGCTTAAGGCAGAATAGTTTTTAGGCCCCCTTCTAAAAATCCGCCTGCTAACGATAACAACTAGGTTTCTTACCATTAGACATTTGCAGCAAAATATGTGATCATAAAATTTATAGAAGTGTGTTTATTGACAGTTTGAAGTGTGCCACTGCATAAAAATCTATAAAATAAACCCTCACTTTTTACATGAGGGGGGCTAGGGGGCTTAGAGATTGGGAGAGAGCCTGAAACCTTCAAGAGCTCAACAACACCACTCTAGCCGCAAGAATCGTCGGCCAACTTCATTCGGTCTGCCAGACTTCAACCCCCAACCTGTCCCCGAACCACCGCTCGGTCCGCCAAACCCGCCGGACACCAGCCCGACATCGTCAGAGCCCACAGCCCGGCCACTATACTCGCCATCGCGACTTCCACTCGGTCGTCGGACCACGTCGGAATTCAGACCCACCATCGTCAGACCACCCCTGCCTGCCCGCTGACCACCACCAGAAATTCAGCCGACCATCGTCGAACCACCACCTGCCGCCGATCGCCACAAAGATTTCCATCAGGACGATGATTCAACCGCCATACATCAGCTGACTGCCTTTGGATCGCTAACACGCCTCGGACTTCACCTCGGTCGTCGATCACCTTCCTGACTTCTACCCGACCGCCGTCAAAACCACCTCTATATACCGCAAAGGCCACCGGAACTTCAGCCTGATTGCCGTCAGACAACGCTGGGTGATGCCGACCGTCACGGGCTTCCATTTGGCCTCCAACCTCCACCGACTTTAGCCTGACCGTCGTCGGACTTTACCGCCGGCCAACGACCCCTCTGCTGGACTTCAGTCTGACATCCCTCAAACCACTGCTCAGTGCGAACAGCCGTCGGAGTTCCACGCGACCACTAACCACAGCTGGACTCAAGCCCGTCGCCATCGAACAACGCTCGACCGCCGACCATCTCGTTCGGACTTCAACACCGGTGTTCATCGGACCATCATCCAGACACCGACCATACTTGCCGGACTTCCACCCCGTTCACCAGACTGCGCTGGACTTCCCGCCAGACTTTCCGCCGGACACCACAGACGTCAGTGTTTTAACTCGGACCACCACCTAGCATTGGAGGTTCTGTCAGACAACCACCTGAGCAAGAGTTCCTTCAGACGGACCTCCTGAGGCTGAACTTCCGTTAGACCACCTAAAACTGCCGGACTTTACTAACCATCGCCCGACACAGGACTTTTGTCGACCAACCGCGTTGAAGACAGAGTTTTGTCAGTACCAATCAGCACAGACATACTAGAAGTTCGCGAAAACCACTATGGACCACTGACTAAGGTCAGAACTTTTCGCCAAAAACCACCAAAAATAAGTCGGAGTTCCACCAGACCACAAAATAATGTGCACAGACCTTCCACCGGACCCCACTTATATATTATGGTCTTTCTAACCTAATACCTTACCAACTCTAGTTCTTTGACCTTCGTCGTCTTACTACGAATCCTTCAACCTCCATCGACAAACAACGGTCTTCAATCCCTTGTGTCTATGTCGGACTATGGTCCTTGCTGACCTTCAAATCACCTACGTATGACCTCACCGTCCTCCATCATAAGAATAACGAATCTTCTAACCTCTGTCTTCGCCGACTATAGTCTTTTCGACCTCTAAAGCTACTATGTCGCTTCCAAACCTCCATCATTAGATACTGATTTTTGACCCCTATCTCACTGTCAATTATGAATCTTCCTAACCTCCGTCGCCTACTATTGTGTCCTTCGACCATCTATCACTAGATAATAATCTTTTTGACCCTATTCTCCTATGTACTAGGGGTCCTTCCGATCTTGTTGCCTACTATGGCTTCTCGACCTACATCATTAACAACAATCTATTTAAAAACCGCTATCTTCCCCCCTATCAGTCCTTTCCGCCTACCTCACCAGACAACCGTCTTTCGGACCAATACTTTACTACGGGAGTACAGTCCTTCAACCTCCCTCGCTAGATTAAAGGTTCTTCCGATCACCGCTTTCAAGACTAACGGTCTTTCTGACCTCTGTCCACTTGTCGATGATTGTTCTGCCAAACTTATTTAACATTTCAACACTAATTTCTTTCAATTCCCCACCATGCAATTATAGATGAACATTTGCCACATCAACCCAAGCCTTCCCCAACCAAAAGGCCTCATTTATAATCAACTGCAAATAAATAGTTGATTCATTCAAAACTAGGCCATGCCCTAATGATTTTCTCCATTTTCAGGGGTTTCAAATAAAAACTCAATTGTCTATTATGAATACTACCCTCTCTCTTTATCTACTTGTGTTGATGTATTTTGTACAACGCTAAAGACAATATTAAAGTTTTAATTTTTATCTACCATAAATATTCCAATGACGTAATAATTTAGCGCTGTTCTAAAGGAAGTGACTCCCGATTGGGGGAGCATTTTACTCACCTAAAAGGTCATCATCGCAACTTCCTTAATCATCTATTACTGCATCCACTTATTGCATCAATTTTATGGGAAATCAAATGTGGAATTAGGTAGGGGGTAGCCTTGAGTCCTACTGTGGTCATAAGATTCCTACCAAGGCTTTCAAAATTAAGATGTATTTTAGAAAATTTCTAGCAAATGCAATGATGCTTCTCAATTAAATTTCAAGCCTCATATTGTCCTTAGCTGACTTTTAACTCCTTGGTAAGGGTCTTAATCTCACCTTAAAAGGGCTGTAAACGGGCTCTTAAGATAGACCAATTTTCACCTTTGATTAGAGATACAATTGGTATTCACCACCCTCCCAATCAAGAAAAAATGATCCTAGGAGACGTCGATTCAACCTCTTTCAACACAGGTTAAGTCATCAAGTAGTTGCTACTGACATTACAGCCTTGGATAGGTCATACAATCTTTGATGGATCTCTCTTGACCTATTCTATACATATAATCATCAATCGAGCATATTCTGACATATACAACTTAATATGTCACACATATTAGTGGATTCTCTTTGACGCTCTTCCATACAGTTTAATATCATCGAGAGCAAGTGCTATGATATAAAACCTCATAATAAGGTTCATACATTCTTGGTGGATATATCTTGGAACTCTTCTAACAGGTTAATATCATTGTTAGTGCTCTGACATAAAAATCTAGATAATCAATTACATCGAGTAGTGCTAGAAAGCACGAAAAATTGACCGCCAGAAAGCCGCCGTAATGGGTGTGATTTTCCCGTAGTGTTTGGTGATTCTCTCAACCCTTCATACATGTTAACGTCAATGAGCAGTGCTCTGGCATAAAATTCAGAAAGGTCAATACATCCTTGGTGAATTCTCTGACCCTTTTCCATAAGAATTTAACTTCAATTTGAAGCAGTGCTCTGTAATAACAACCTCGATAGTCATACATTCATTGGTGGATTTTCTCTTAACCTCTTCAATATATGTTAACAATCATCGAGCAGGTACTCTGACATAACAACTTCGGATACGGGTGGTGGTCGGGCGACAGGCGTCGGCCGGTGGTCCGGCGGCAGACGGTGGTGGTGCTAGAGCTCTTGAAGCTTCAGAGCTCTCTTTAATATCAAGCAAAAGGTCCCCCTCATGTAGAGAGTGGGGGTCTATTTATAGATATTCATGAGTGGCGCACCCCGTAAATCTAGAGAAGATCCGGGGCAGGTTCAGAGTGCTCCATCGGATGGCTCGTATTGATTCCCCCGATCGTAGAGAGTTTTTTAACTGTTTAAGTGCCTTAACAGTGTCGGAATTTAGAGATCTTGGGCTCGTTGGATTCGTCTCGCCGAGACGCTCGATTTGACTATAAGAATGCCATATTGGGATATCATTTCATTATCCAAATAATGCTTTAACCCTTCCAAATGTGGTCCGGGCCCCCGATTTGGACCCATTTGCGCTTAAGTTGGACCAATTTTGGTGTTGTTCGGTTCGTCCCTTTGAGATGTTCATTTTGATTGTAAGTTTGATAAAAAAAAATCCAATTTGAATATGCCTCGAGATTCGTGCTCGATCAAGGCAATTTTTAGGACGTATCAGTTGTAAAAGCTCGCTTATATAATTCCCCGTTGATAATAGTGAAGTTAGATGCTTGCCTTCGGAGTCGCATTACCATTGTCACATCTTCAGGCAGCACACCATTTTGCAAGAATGATATAATAGGATCCATCCAAGAGGGTTCTCTTGACTCATCAATGGATTGTTAATCCATGGACCTTCAATGCTCGGGAAGTGTATTTCCTCAATATACCTTCTTTTGAAAAAGTCCCCTGTCGTTGATGTAGCGAGTTTTGAGAGAGGATCAGCACGTGCATTCTTCTCTCGGAGTATATGGACAATTTGATACTCTTTTACATGGGTAAGAAGTGACTTCACTAAGCAACAATATTGCGCCAAATACGGATTATGGGCATCAAATCCTCCTTATACTTGAGAGGCGACGAGTTGTAAATCAGTATGAATCATCAAATTCTGAATCTCATAGTCTATGGCCAACCATATTCCCACAATAAGAGCTTCGTACTCAGCAACATTATTTGTAGCAGGAAACTTCAGTCGAAGCCCATATTCGAAAGTGATTTGTTGCGGAGAGATTAATAAGATTCATGCTCCAGCACCAAATAGTTTATTATAAGTTTCTTGGACGCAATTTTGAATCTCACGATGATAAGCTGAAGACTTTTTAAACTTTTCAACAGCCTCCAGTGATATGGCCCTTGTACGGGCATCAACATCTAGCATGGCTTCTTCTTTCTCCAAAAGAAGATTCATTCTCTCCTCGTCCTTTGGGAGTTATTTCACCAACTCTTTTTGACTTCTTCAATGGAATGGCATGAGTTCTTCCAGCTTGAAAAGAAAGACCAACTTTGAAAAGTTTTTCCTCCATCACATAATGACTAATGTGATGTAACTCCTCCTGAAGACTCTTCGTGTCAGAAAAGTTAAGAGTTTTCAGTATCTCCTCCTCTCCTAGGTGAGGGAATTCTGGTAGCTCTTTTAACCTTCCCCATTTTTCAGGAAGGTTCCAATCATTCTTTATAAAAAAGAATGAGCTGGACCAATTCTTAGAAGGACCCAGTGTTGAAAAATGTAGCCACTTTTTACCTCTACATAAAATGCGCCCCTGGGGATCACTCGTGAGTCTGCACATCTTGGATAAGTGGTCAATGGACAATCTAGCACTGCGCTCCCTATAAAATACTGCCAAACCCACAATGATTGTAACTGTCCTACATAGGAATTGGGCCAAGGGGACACCACTTGCCCCAAAAATCTCGAGCAACTCAGGGGCTAGAGGGAACCTCAAAACAACACGCAACGTCATCTCATACATGGTGATAAACCCACTTGGAGGATATCATGCTTGATCTGACTCTTTAGGAGCAGCCGTCACTAAGTCATTAGGCAGATGAAATTTTTTACGAAGAATAATCAAGCCATCCGAAGTAATTGATGATGAGACATCATCAATCAACGTCGACCTCCTACCCTCATCAACCTACGTAGTTCGAGGAGCTCGTGCCGGCTCAATCACTTTATGGAAAGAAGGAATAACATCTAACACATCGAACGACCTGCCGCCTGGAAGACCCTCTTGGCTCTTTGAAGCTCGCCTCTTATTAGATGCGCCATGGCCACCTTTTTGTGTACCGTTCAAGGCACCCTCAGCTCTGGCGAACGACATTCACCTCCCAATAAGGAAAACTGCACCAACCGGATCTTGATCGCCTCCTCCGGTATTTAGACTCTTGCCGGACAGCTTTTCCCCCAATGTGAGTGAACTAGATCCTGCGTAATAGTATCGGGCCTTGATCGCCTCCTCCGGTATTTAAACTCTTACCGGATAGTTTTTCCCCCAATGGGAGTGAACTGGAGCCTACGTAAGAGTACCGGGCCTTGATCACCTCCTCCAGTATTTAGACTCTCGTCGGACAGTTTTTCCCCCAATGGGATTGAACTGGAGCCTACGTAAGAGTACCGGGCCTTGATCGTCTCCTCCGGTATTTAGACTCTTGCCGGACAGTTTTTCCCCCAATGGGAGTGAACTGGAGCCTGCGTAAGAGTACCGGGCCTTGATCGCCTCCTCCGGTATTTAGACTCTTGCCGGACAGTTTTTCCCCCAATGGGATTGAACTGGAGCCTGCGTAAGAGTACCGGGCCTTGACCGCCTCCTCCGGTATTTGAACTCTTGCCGGACAGTTTTTCCCCCAATGGGAGTAAACTGGAGCCTGCGTAAGAGTACCGGGCCTTGATCGCCTCCTCCGATATTTAGACTCTTGCCGTACAGTTTTTCCCCCAATGGGAGTGAACTGGAGCCTGCGTAAGAGTACCGGGCCTTGATCTCCTCCTTCGGTATTTAAACTCTTGCCGGACAGTTTTTCCCCCAATGGGAGTGAACTGGAGCCTGCGCAAGAGTACCGGGCCTTGATTGCCGCCGCCCAAAATTCTTTATTTTTGCTAGTCCGACTTCTCGTAACTTCGTAAGAGAATTTTTGTAACAGGCTAAAGAGAGGCTGTTGCGTCTAGGAGTATTCGCGGCGGTAGAGAAATATAAAGTTTATCATCTTAGCGTTGTACGAAAATCCGGCACGCAATCAGATAAGAGAGAGGGTATTGTATTTAAACTAAGGATGTACGACCTTTTCGAGGTTGTATGTCGGAGCCTTTGCTCGATGACGTTAACCTGTGTGGAAGAGGTTGAGAGAATCCACCAAGGATGTAAGACCTATCCGAGGTTGTATGTCAGAGCCTTTGCTTGACGATGTTAACCTATGTGGAAGAGGTCGAGAGAATCCACCAAGGATGTATGACCTATCCGAGGTTGTATGTCGGAGCCCTGCTCGACGACATTAACCTGTGTGGATGAGGTCAGGAGAATCCACCAAGGATGTGAGACCTTTCCGAGGTTGTATGTCGGAGCCTTTGCTCGACGACGTTAACCTGTGTGGAAGAGGTCGGGAGAATCCACCAAGGATTGTAAGACCTATCCGAGGTTGTATGTCGGAGCCTCTATTTTAAATTTATATATATAGTTTGAGATGAATAAATATAAAATGGATTAACTATTTATATAGTTTATTCATCTCAAATAAAAAAAAAAACTCAAATATATATTTGATCATATTTTTATTAGATATCTCAATCAAATTTTCTTCTATTAAAAAAATAGCATTGAAATAAAAAAAAAACAATATTAAAAAGAACCTAAAATAAACTGAATTAAATGATTAAACCAGAAAATCGAATCATCAAATAATTTAATTCGAAAATCGAATGTGATGGATAAGGCTTTTTTTGACGCGGTGTTGTGGGCCGGTTTCTATCGCTCTCGGTGGTCCTATGGTTCGCGTGTCGTTCGCAAACTTCTCAGTTTTATCCTGAGTTCCTCTCCTTCGCCTCTATGGCAATGCCGTCGGCTACTGTCCTCTTCCCACCCTATTCTAAATTTGCTAGTGCTCGCTTGTTTCCAAAGAGGCTTGATTTCAGTACCTGTAAGAGTAGGAAAAGGAAAGGTTTGTCGGAATCTCGAACGGGTACTTTAAGAAAGTTGCTAGCTGCTAGATCAACCGAAGATCGCCAGCAGAACCCAGGTTGGAGGTCGAGTTTTCCTTCCCTCGTTTTCTTCCTTTGAGCTTTTTCATGAAATCATTCCCTCTCTTGATTAGGTGAGAATGTTAAAGGAGGTAAGCAGAATTCGAGACCTTTGCGTGAAGAACTTGGCTGGGATTTCAGTTGGCTACCCGCTTTTCCTCATGTGCTCACAGCATCTATGGCTAATTTCCTATTTGGGTATCACATAGGGTGAGTTTAATCCTTTTCACAAAAGAATTCAAGGTCTATGTTCGGTTTAGAATTTTTTTTAACAAGTTTATCTTCCTATTGCAACTTATATTTGTTTAAGGGGCTGTATATTTCACCTATTTGCTCAAACTTTAACCTAAATTTACTGAAAATTCCGCGAATCAGCATGAAAGGGCCCTGCTTATTCCCAGATTTATGAAATCCAGAATGTCGTCCGATTTAACAAATCTCGTCGGAGCTCCCCGATCTATCTCCTTTAATGAGTGAAATTTATCTTCGGAAGTTTCTATTTTCTAATTATATACGTGAAACTTATTATAACTTGAAACCCATTTGCAAAAGATAGGAGTTTTTATTTTCAGCCACTCATCCAGCTATTCAGCCTCTCAAAAAATTTCAAGCTAGCACTACTGTTATGTTTAATAGAGGAAATAGCGATCCAAGGTAGTCTCAATGAAGGATTTTGCAAGCAAAGCCTAAAAAGCATAAATTTTGTCTTTAATTCGAACATTCAATGCTTTCAAAAAATAACTGGCAGACTTATTTATGGTGGCGTATAAACCAATTGCATGTTTAAAAATGTCCAAAATGTTGTGCAGGCAGTGAATTGTATTAAGTTCAGCTTTATCAAAAACTAAAAGATCATCAGTATAAATAAAATGAGACATGGAAGAGTTAAAACCAACAATGCCTTGGAAGCCATAGCTCCCATAATGGATATCCATGAGTCTAGAAAAAGTGTCCATGATGAAAATGAATAGAAATGGAGAAAGGAAATACTTGCCGAAGACCAGTAAATGAAGGAAAATAATCTCTAAATTTTCCTTTAATGACACAGAAACACACATTAGAGGTGCAAGAAATAATCCATTGGATAAACTTTCATGGGAAGCCACAGTCTTGAAGTCTCGTATCAAGAAAATGGCGGTTGACTTTGTCAAAAGCTTTTTTAATGTCAATTCTAATTCAGGAATACTTTAGAGTAGATTGCTGATTAATGTCATGAATGAGCTCAATAGCAGTAGTGATATTATCCGTAATGTCTCTATTTTGAAAAAAAAAAGGCAGATTAACTGATTAAGCTAGATGAATGAACTTAGGAAGAAAATATTTGAGTCTGCCAGTAATGAGTTTAGCAATGACCTTGTACTCTTGTAGATAGCGTTACAGAGGGATATTGATTTGTAATCATTTTTAATTTTCATATTACAATAGGAGTTCATTGCTCAAACCTTCATTATGTAGCAGTGGTAAATTTTATTCCATTAATCCATTAAGGGTGTACAATCATCATTGATTAATAATTACATTTATTGTGATTAATAAGAGTGTTGGAATTTTTTCAAAAGTTTGAAGGGATAATAATGCATTTTAGCATAAGAATCCTGAAATCTCTTGAAGGTATATGACATCTTCATCTTGTCATAGCACAAGTAGCATTTCTAGATGCCTTAGTACTATAGTTGGTGGTAGAAGCATAAAGACACCATTACCTTATCTTGAAATGAAATATCCTATCATTGTTGTCATGTTGCATTATAAGAACATGAAAACATATCTAATTTTTTTTTTCAATTGAGTTATAAGAATGTTGAAATTTCTTCAGAGGAGCAATAATGCATTTCATCAAAAGATTCCTTAAATTTCTTTGATGTATATGATATCTTCATCTTGTCAGAACTCAGAACACAAGTAACATTTATAGACGTCTCAATAGAAGAGCTGGTGGCAGAAACATAAACACATCATAACCTTATTATAGATCATGATTGAATTCCAAATATTGTTGTTATGGTAGTGCCAGTGCTAGTTGGCCTTTTATGATTTTGTTACTTTTTCATCAGAAAACTTGTGTATTCTTTCTCCGTGATAATAATGCTTGTGTGTTTTTAGTAATAATATTTTAGTATTGTTCGACTTGTTTAGGGTGATGAATGGACCTATAGAAGCCATTGCAAAGGAGCTTGGTTTCAACGGGAACCCCTTTCTTGAAGGTCTTGTGGTGAGCATATTTATAGTTGGTGCATTTATTGGATGTATAAGCTCATCCTCTCTAAACGAAAAGCTTGGTTGTCGACGTACACTTCAAATTGATGCGATACCATTAATTATCGGGGCACTTTTGAGGTTATTACTGTTTTATAATGTTATATTTATTTTTATATTTTTTTAAAGCTTTAAGCACTTTTTTCTATCATGCATTGAAACTCTTATTTTACTCACTCTACGGTGGGGCAGTTCTGAGTTATTACTAATTTGTGGTGGTTTTATTTTCTATACACACATGTGCACACACACTCACAACACATGCATAAAACTTTATGCAATTCTTTATATTTCTCTGTTATGTTGTATGGATCTTAAGGTTGGGCAGTAAAAATATCATTGATGGCCGAGTTGAGTATAATGGAAATGAGAATGTTGAGATGATTGTATGTCGAAGTTAGGAATAATAAATTTAAGAATGACTATATTAGCAGAATAGTTGGAGTGATGTTTATTGTAGATAATATACTTCACACTATACTTTGGTGGTTTGAACATGTAAAATACACCCATTAAATATGTTGATAGAATAAATTTATATGGATTAGGAATGAAAAAAAAAGTTAAAACTAAAATTACATGGAAGCTTTTCATATTGATTTATGGAGAAAATGGTTAACTCGAGTAACACTCATCAGGAAAGAACTAAAACTGATGAGTCATAACGCCTCTCCCAAATAGTATGGATAAGACTATGACGACAAATCAACTATGATGATCTTTATTCACCCATAGGTAGTTTACTAGTCTTAAATGTTTAAAGGTAATGTCTTCAAATCTATTTATGTCCTACTTCCATGCCCTTCCAACATTGGTGTTTAATTCCTGTTAATATATTTTGATGCATTCGGATTCTAATGACAGTCTGAACAGGGAAATGAGTTTTTTCTACTCCCAATTCCGTTTTGTTTTTATACTTCTTGATCAAACGTAACACTTCTTCTGGATAAAATTTTACATTATACTGATATTTAGCTTTGATGAACTCTTATTTTCACTTTGATTTTCTTCAGTGCACAAGCTCACTCTTTAGATGAAATTCTTTGGGGACGATTTCTTGTTGGCCTTGGCATTGGTGTGAATACTGTACTTGTTCCCATCTACATTTCTGAGGTACTGTTAACAAACTATGCTAAAAGATTTGAGTTTGTTTAACATATATGATCTGAAGTTAAATTCTGAAAAAATTTGCAAGCATTTTGTCTTTGCCCTTTTTTAAATGCTGCTTCTGTTTTTGATTACTCAAAAATCTTGTGCTTTCCCTGAGATCAAATAGCTCTTTTGGAAGATCTAATGAATAGACGTCAACTCCGAAAGCATGTATTGAACTTTATATTCAAGTTATGGCACTTACATCTCTCCATTTTGCGAAACATTTCTCCCTCTTAAATTACTAGTTCCTTTTTGTTGACTATATATAAAAATGAAAATGAATGAAAATTAAAAAATAAAAAGGAATATTAATTGAGAAGCTTGAGAAGGAAAATATGCCGTTTGAACTTGAATTTGAAGATAAAGTCTTATCACTAATTTGCTTCAGATTTAATGATCACGCATATCTTAAAACAATAGAATGTGCCACAGCTGTATTTTATTCAAATCATTAGATTGATTGTCTTCTAATTTTACTAAGATTTATGGTAGGTATTTTTCTGACAATTTTCTGAATCAGTTAGAGAAAAAAGTCTTAACGCAAATAATCTTCTTCTTTCTGTTCATTTATTCCCCAGATATCCTAATGTAGGTTTCGCCTACAAGATATAGAGGTTCTTTTGGAAGTCTTTGTCAAATTGGGACTTGCCTGGGCATAATTGCATCACTATCTTTAGCACTTCCTTCAGAAAGCGACCCACATTGGTAAGTCTTGTTTATTTTAAATGCATGTCTTTCTGCAAGGATTCGAATTTCAGACTTTCACTTCAGAGATCGAAGGCTATAATACTCAAGTGGTTTGTAGTAATTCTATTTTAATAACTATGAACAAACAGATCAAGTATAAGTAATATACCTTGCATTACATGTACTGGGCACATGTTCTAGTCTTAAAACTTTCCTTTCATGGTCACCTTCTTTTTTGTCATCTTTTTGTTTCTACCTTCCTTGTTATCATGTATTATTTTGTCCATATTGTTTTTTTCCTGCAGCAAATCAAAATGAGATTTAAGGGAGTAGGATTCTGTCCAACTTCTCAAGCAGTTCCATGTGATTCATTTAATACTGTCTTTATACTGGTTTTTTTTTTGTTAGTTGATTCATACTCATTTTTCCTATTTATTCATTTTTTAAAACTTCTTTGTCACTATTTCTGTTACTTTAATTTGCCAGTTAAATTTTGAATGTGTTATCAGAATTGACAGAAGAAGGTAAAAGAAGCTTAAACATTACATCTACTTTTTTTTTTGACCGACCACACATACATTATGCATTTATATCATGACACTGAGCTCCAGTTGCATGAAAAGATTGGAGAAAATAATGTTATGGACATCTTTTTTTTGTTATTATTGTAATTAAGTTCATTTTAAATTTTCTCCATAATACTTTCTTATTATAATTGTTGCGTCCTGGAGTATTCGCGGCGGTAGAGAAATATAAAATTAAGCGTCTTAGCACTGTACGAAAGTCCGGCACGCAATCAGATAAAGAAAAAGGGTGTAGCATTTATGAGACACCAATATTTTTATGTGGAAAACCCCTGAAAAAGGGGGAAAAATCACGGGGCCTATCCCAGTATGAATGAATCCAATATTTGCAGTTGATTACAAATGAGGCCCTTCTTTTGAGGAAGGCCATAGCTTGATGTACATCTTATGGAGTACATTACATGGTGGGAATATAAAGAATCATTGTTGATGTGTTTGTTTGGTCGGAAGGACTGTAGTTTGTGGGCGACGTAAGCCGAAAGGATCGTAGTCGGTGGGCGACGGAGGTCAGAAGGACCGTTGTTTGACGATGGAGGTCAGAAGGAAGGCGTTAGGTAGAAGTCCAGCAATTGATAGAAATCCAACATTGGATAGATGTCCGGCGAAAATTCGACAACGGGTAGAAGTCCGACGTCGGGTAGAAATCTGGCGGCGTCGGGTAGAAGTCCGATGTCAGTCGGCGGCCGGGGAGAACTTTGGCGTAAGATGGTATTCGGGTAAAATTCCAGAGTCACTTGGAGATCGGACAGAATTTCGACGTCCCGTGGAAGTCGGGCAGAATTCTGACGTCCCGTAGAAGTCGGGCAGCATTCCGGCATCTCGTGAAAGTCGGGCAGCATTCCAGCGTCCCGTGGAAGTTGGGCAGAATTCCAGCGGTGATCGATGAGGAGTTTCTTCCCTCCTATTCTTCTTCTCTTCACTTCTCCTCCTTCTTCTTCTCTTCTTCTTGCTTGGGTCCCCTCTCAAGAGAAAGGAGAGATTATTTATAGTTTTTTGAGGATGACATGACCCGTAAAAAGGAGGAGGATCAAGGGCAAAGGTGGAGTGGTTTGGATGGATGGCCGATATGGAATCCTTTGATCGTGGACCGTTTAAAGGTCTTAACGATATCAGAATTCGGCGATCTTGGGCTCGTTGGATTCTTCTCGTCGAGCCGCTCGATTCGACTATAAGCATGTCATGTTTGGAAACCGTTTGGTAATCCAAATTGTGGTTTGAATCTGCCAACAACGCTTTGGTTCTTCGATTCGGATTCATTTTGGCTCAGATTGAGTTGAATTTGGTGTCTTGAGTTCGTATTTCCGAGACGCTCAGTTTGACTGTAAGTTTGTTGAAATCGGAGTTCAGGTGATCCTGGATTTAATTTTTGAAGTTTCCGGCTTGATTTTGCCTCGAGATTTGTTCCTGATCAAGATAATTTTTGATGATATATCAATAATAATACTTTTCAAGATAAATATATATTATGTAACTAGTTTTGTGTTAATGTGATTATTTGATGTGTTACATTCATAAGAGTAATTGAAATGGTAAAAAAATTATATTTTTGTTTAGTTTGAAAATTTCTTTTTTTTTTTTTTTTACATTTCTTTTATTTATATCATAATAATATATTTTAGTACTTTTAAATGTATAAAACAAAAAATTGATGGCTTATGCTGTGCGCTTTGAAGCTTACCCTTCATTCTGCATAGGGGTAGGGGTGGTCAAATTCTTTTCTTCATTCTTTCATGTTTTAAATCGTTGTTCTACACATTATCATATCAAAATTATTCCAAAAGTGCAAGTTCTTATATGGGCTATGATAAATTGTTGATTATTCTTGTTTTATAATAAAGAAATCTCGTATAGTCTTTACTATCAGCTAAGAGAATGTTATGCAGACACAATCTCTTAAAACAACAATCATGCCAATATTGTTCCATGTATCAGAGTGTTAAGAAACAAATAAATCTGTTACGATGTTGTTAAATGTGGCACAAATGAAAATGTCTAGATGGATTTGTGGGAAAATTCAAAAGGTTAGAATGCAAAATTGTTCTATTGGAGATATAGTGGTTATTGCACCTATTGGAGAGAGGTTATAAAACATGGAATTTGGTGCATTGTGCGTGTAAAATGGAGAGCAAAGGATGCACCATTACGCGAGTAATGATAGTAATTTGTGAAGCATGGGATGGTATGGAGGTTGACGAAAGGTTGTTGGCTAGAAATCATTAGAAGTAGCTTGCAGAAACTAGTGTTAACATCATAAGCACTGATTAGGAATGACTAAAGAGGAAGGGTTCATGAAGCCAGCCACAGATCACTGAGATAAGCTTAATGATGATAATGGTGATGATATGAATTTAATGTTGGAAAGAGAAATCTTTACATTTTTGTAGTATCATAAATTGATTTCAAGTTACGGTTTTAAAGAAAAATTCAAATAAAGCAACTGACTAACAAACTTTTTTCGCTGTGATTCTTTGTTAATAGGGGGTTTTTTTTTATTCTTTAACCTTTTTTTGGCATTGCTTTCGATGGTAGTTAATTCTATTCCAACTTTTTGAGTCATCAAAACTTTGGGTTTCTTCCTTTCTGGAGATTTCGCCTCAATTAGATTATCTCTTACTTCGATCAATCAGCAGTTCTGTTGCAATAACTTAATATTCAGTTATGATACTTTGTTTACCATTCTTCTTATAAAGAGCTGTATTTGGCTTTATTGGAAATTTAAAATTAGACTATCTTTTGTTTCACATTATTTGGAATCAGATCCTTCTTTTTTTAATGGTCTGGATTATATAAAATTAGATGTTTTTTCATTAACTATCTTTGTTTAAAACTCAATCGACACAAATATACATTAGGAACTGTTTAACATAGACTTTCTAGCGATATTAACTGTTTTGAAGCCTTCTACTTCAGCTAATGCTATTAATTTCATCTGTAAACTTCATGCCTGTGAATTTTTATTTAACTTTTTTGATATCTTACGTTATAGGTGGAGGTCATTGCTCTTCATTGCTAGTGGCCCAGGTCTTCTTCTCATGTTGGGCATGCACTTTGCTGCTGAGAGTCCACGCTGGCTGTGTAAGGTACTTTATGATATAGCATGAAGTGCCCTTTACTGATTTCACTTTACAAGTATCTGGTCCATGTATAATTCATTGTTTCTTCTGCAAGGTGGGAAGGTTGATTGACGCTGAAAGAGTTGTGCGCAACCTTTGGGGCGAGACTAATGTTGAGAGTTCCATGAAGGAAATTCTCTCTGTAACTGAAAATATTAGCAATCCTAAGGCTACTTGGTTAGATCTTCTTGTTGAGCCGCATAAGAAAGGTTTGATGTTTTTGACGAGACTATTCATTATTCTACAATCTATGCTTTTTTCTTACATCATACATGCAAAATGTTTTTGATGCTTATCCATTTTCTTTCTTTATTTGATTATCCTTTTTTTTGTCTTAACGTTTTGTTCTTTGTTTTCTATGCTAATATGGAAGGTTTAACAATTATTTTTTTTCAGCATTTAAGTTTAATACTTATAGAGTTTGATATTATTTTTGCATTCAAGTAGTCATCTGCAAGACCTGGACATAATTGATTTTAAAGATATTCACTAGTAGTTTGAACTTACTCCACAAAGCTTGATATTATTGACATTTCACAACCCAAGGAGCAGCTTCATTTTGAATTGTTAGTTGGTGTAAAAACCTTTGCGGCCCAACCGACCAATCTATGAAGGAAAAATACATGGCAGCATATAGGATTACAATACAATATGGTCTCCTTTGAAATGCATGAGATTAAGGATTGCAGAAAATGACTGCATATACTTCTAGAATATTTATTTATTCTCATTTTTTTTAATGATATCTAGGTAAAGGAATCTTAGCAATGGAAGTAGTCTTAATATCCTTGATTTCAAGAGAGCTAAACTTATGGATAATGTTGAATTTAGAGATTTGGAGAAGAGAAAAGCTTAGCTTTATTGGACAAATCTAACCCTATTTATAGATCTATACAGAATATCTAATAAAGAAACAAATAAATTACATAATCATGCTTTATTGCGCTAATATAATCCTTCCTAAATCAGCAATCTATCTATGGAAAGAGATCGACGTGATCCAAGTGAGCCTCCCAGGGATCCCTATCCTAGCCGTAGGATCAACTACTAAGGGATGGCTGGGATTCAACACTCCTCAAGCTGGAGAATACATATATGTCATTCCCAGCTTAGTAATCAGTCTCAGAAATGCAGAGTTTTCAAGTCCATTGGTAATAATATCTACAAGCTAATCTTTTGATAAGACATGGCATATACATATAAGACCACTGTCTAATTTTTCTTTTATAAAATGTATATTCACTTCTATGTTCTTAGTCCTCTCATGCTGAACCAGCTTGTGAGATATGCTGATTGCTGCTTTGTTGCACAATGTAGCTTTATGAGTCATTCCCACTAGGTCTTCTAGAATCATCTTGATTCATAGTAGCTCACATATTCTCATGGCCATAACTCTGTATTTTGCTTATGTACTAAATCTTGCCACCACATTCTATTTATTTCTTCTTCAAGGAATGTGCAATATCCTGAGGTAGATATTTTATCTACTGGTGATCCTATTTGATCTACATTAGTATATGCTTATGGGGTTATTCCACAGTCTCTTCTGAAGAGAATATTTTTCTCTGGGTTTCTCTTAAGGTAGTGCAGTATTCTTTCTATAGCTTGCATATGAATTCATTTTAGGTTTTGCATGAACTGGCTGACCGTTCTTATAACAAATGCTATATCTGGTTTGGTGTGGGAAAGGTAGATCTATTTTCCCACAAATCTTTGGTAAGCTTCATTATCTACATATGGTTCTTCTTTAGCTTCCCCCAATTTGAAATTTTGTTCTACTGGTGTTAGTTCTGTTTCTTTAAGAATATTATTGATATTTTTTTTTGTGAAATAAAAATTCCTCCGTTGGAGTGGGCATCTTCAATTCCAAGGAAATATTTTAATCTACTAAGTTCTTTGATATCAAATTCCTTAGTAAGATATTTTCTTAGAATCACTTTCTCCTTTTCATCATTCCAAGTCAATATGATATCATCAACATAAATTAATAATATTGTGACTCCTCCTGAGTATCAGTGCTTAAATAATAATGTATGATTCCCTTGACTTTGTCGATAACCATTAAGAAATATGACTTTTAAGAATCTTCCTATTGACCTGTGTACCTAAACAAAAAAAGGAAAAAAAAAATTCCATACCTGCACGATGTCAGCACGTCGTGGCAGCTCCGAATCCATCCCATGCACGTCGCTCGCACGTAGACGTCGTTTCTTCCCACGACGTTCGCACGACCTCGCGTCGTTAAAAGGCCGCAAGAACGAAGCCTTAGGGCTCTCCGATTGCTCTCTCTCGCTCTCGCTCTCCATCTTACTCACTGTAAAGAAACTTCCTCCTCTCACATTGCCTATCCGACTCCTTCGGTGCTGTTTGACTTCATTCATTCGACGGCTTGCCCTTCTGGACGGATCAGAAGTTACGCTATTTTGATCGGAAGAGACAACGCGAGCTCGCTGGTTCGGAAGGTAACTTTCTTCCATTCGCGTAGCTTCTCCGGCTCCTGCGTCGCCATTCAACTTCTTACCTTTGACGACTTTCCCTTCCCACCTGCTTGAAAGTTACGACAGTTTGATCGGACGGAACAACGAGAGCTTGTCACTTCTTGGCTCCGTCCCCGCAGTTCGACTTTGCGCCTTCAACGACATTCCCATCCTGTCGGGTCAGAAGCCTGACATATTGACTAAGATGCATAGACACGGACACAGCAACACGGATACGAAACGACACGGGACACATCAGTTATTGAAAATATAGGACACAAACACAATATTATAGTTTTTATATTTAAAAAATAGTGAATACAAATTAAATAAGTATAATTTTAAAAATAATTTGAAAAAAATAAGTCATTTAACTAGAATTTGTGCTTAAAATAATTAGTATTAGGATGTCGAGAGTCAGCCGTCGATGCCTTTTATCAGTCATCGAGAGAGGAGATGAAAATACATTCACTGTCAAAAAGAAATGAAAATGAGAATATTCGATGATTGGTATAAGATACGGACGTTGATTTGGTGTTGTGGATAGGAAATAAGAAATTTAGTATAAATCCCGTCAATACAAAAAATTATATTTAAAAAAATTCATAAATATTTAAGATACGCGTGTGGACATGGTGTCCAATTTGTCTTTAATATTTTTTAATCGGACACATTTTCGGCATGTCCGACACTTGTCGTAGGAGTGTCGGGCAAGTGTAGTGTCGGATACGGTGTCGAACACTGCACACCTCTTTGAGGAGAGGTGTCGGTGCATCAATAACATTTTGATATCGGAAGCAAGGAGAGCTCGCCATTCGTGAAGGTAACTTGCCCCCTGCGCGAGCTTCTTCGACCAAATCCCATAAATCCGTCGAACCGAGTTAATATTATATTTCATTAAATAATATAATTTATTTTTAATTTATACATATTATAATTAAATATAATTAATTAAAATTATTTTTAATTAATCATAATTTATAGTTAAATTATTATTATTTAATTATATTTAATTAGAATTAATTAATATCAATTAAGTTATAATTAATTATAACTTATTGTCTTAATTAATTTAAATAAAATTTAATTAATTATTTTTAATTAATTATAATTAATTTTAAATGATTAATTAAAATTATTTAATTAATTATAATTAATTGATGTTAATTATAATTAATAAAAGATGTTCGCTTCTTGTCTTGCCTCGTGCCACGAGCCTCCATCGCTGGTTCGTCGGTCGCCAAAAGTATAATTTATAGAACTTAAACCCACTCTTACCTTGATGTGCGTATCGAGCCGGCAAACAATCCATACACACTTTTCTCTAGCGTGGTGGGAAGGGAATCCGGTGTGACACTTATGACGAGGTAGGTGTGCGACCCCTCAGCTCCAAAATCCTGCCCTCGGCGTGTGTGACGAGCCAGCTAACCACTTATACACGATTTTCTTAGCGTGGTAGGAGGGAATCCGGTGCTACACATACGACGAGGCAGGTAAGCCTAGTGTACGCTTTTCTTAATGTGGCCGGGACAACCTTTAAGTTCCCGTACGTGGCTCTGTACCTAGGGGAAAACAACTGCTTTTCTTGTAACAGGTACCAGAGACCCATACACGCTTTTCTTAGCGTGGTGGGGACAAAGACTTTATGGCCGCGATGTCCTTGTATGAGGCACCTATCGTACACGCTTTTCTTTTTGCGTGTAGCGTGGCAGGAGGCCTAGTTTTCCGTAGTTTTCCCCTAAACAGGGGAGACGTCGCGAGGCTGCTGAAATTTCGGGTGAATATATGACTTCACTCGGACTTGTTTGAACTCCAAAAGGGCAAGAACAAAAATTTGGAGTCAAATGAACAGTGGACTTGAGGACTTGTACTTGAACACAAATCAAATGAATTCAATTCAAATTTGAGCAAAATACAATAAGAATTTGGAATTCAATATGATAACAAGGACCTAACTTGGACTCGAGTGAACTCAAACTTGAACTCAATTTGAAAATGAAATGAGTTAAACAAGACCACTTGAACTTGTTCTCTGGACTCGAACATTAACAGCTTGAACAATTTGAACTCAAGCGAGTACTTGAGTTGAACTACAGGGGATGTAGAACTGAGCTTGCACATTGAGCTTATGAACTTGATTTGAACTGGACTTGAAAGGACTCACACTTGAGTCTGATTTGAACATCATTGCCCCCTCACATTTGATACCAATCAAACTAAAACACCTTTTACGAATGTATTCAGTGAAGCATACAGTGAATGCAAATGCCCGCTAGTGTCAACAATCATCCGATCGAAGACAAATACATATTTCCCTTGCAACTGGAAGGTGGTTGATTAGCACATCAAGTGCAAATGCCTACAAATATGAAATGACCACATCAAAGCGTAAATCCCTTTACAAATAACCGTGGGATACATACAAGTATGCATAAATGACAGTGATATGCATCCAAATGAATATTAAGACAAAGATGATTGATGCATGTATCAATCATACAAACAAGAGTATTGCCCTTTTATTGCCTTGAAAGACAACAAGGAACCTATCTTCAAATGTGAATTTGTAAGATAATCTGCAATACTCCTACAAGAAAAAACCACCCAAGGAGAACAAATATACATATCCCTATATGCAAAAGGGGACTAATTGAAGAAAAATGTTTTTACAAACAAATGCAAACATCAAACCACCTGAGATTGGTGAAAGGTGGATATGATGCAGAAACAAT